TGCGAAGTGTTTTTTTACGTGTCCAATAGCGGAAAGATTACACCTGTCACCTGCAGTTTGGGAGAGAGGCTGAATATTTCAGTTTACAACTCCTCCGCGATCAGAGGAAAATAACTTTCCTGCCAGAACATCAAGTACTCAGAACGTTGCTCATCCTTTATGGGAGACATGATTTGAACCTGAATTATTTACACTCGCTGAAACCGATCGTACCTGAGAACACGGAGCTGGCCTGGTTTTATTCCTCTCATTGCAGTGAACAGTTGTTTACCTGTGACACGTCCTTAAGGAACAGGGGCCCGATCCAGAGCTAACAGCCCTAAAGTGTTCATTGCCCAGGTTGTTCTTTGGGTGAGAAAAACTGGAAATTGGGTCATTTTTCTTGTACCGAGGGAAGACAATGCTCATTTTCAGAAATTGTTTTAGCCAATTACAGCCGCACCTTCAACTGCTTTGAAACTCATCTAATTTGGTACTCAACGCATTACGATGTGAAGATGTTGTCCCGATACTCGTCGTTTGTTTGATACGCTGCCTACTGCCCTCCCGAGATCCATTTTTTCTGGCAGAGGCACCGCGGACTGGTCCTTCGCTGTTTTCAGGGCCACCCTGCGGGCCAGATCTAAGCACCATGCGGGCCAGGTTCTGGCCCACAGGTCTTGAGTTTGATGCTCCCTGGTCTACATAATCACCAGGAGTGGAACTTGAGAAAGACGTTAGAGATGATTAAACTGTAGGATTTGCTGCCATTGGGTGTAATGGGGAAAATCGTGGTTCTAAAAAAAGATGCAGGCCACAGTTTCTCAACCTTGAGAACTTTAAGACGGGTGGACTTCAACTCCCAGAATTCTGGGAGTTGAAATCCACCCATCTTCAAACTGCCGAGCTTGAGAACGGTGGGTGCGTTAAGAACAGTTAAGAACACCTGTTGGGTGTGTACCGCCTTCCGAATTTCAGGCAGCATCCCTTAAATACCAGCTGTTTCAGGAACGACACTGGGAGGAGGGCTTTTTTAAGAGCCCCAAACACATCTGGTCGGCTGCTGCATGAGCCAGAATCACGGCGGAGGAGCTAAGCGTGTGCAGATGGCTCTTCCCTCTTCACTTTCCCAGCATTTTGGATCCATAGCACCTGCAGCGTGGCCTGGCATGGGGATACCGCCAGCGAGGGCTCCTCCTTGGCCACTCCTGTCACAACGGGTCACCAGCGGCGCATGCAGCCACATCTCTGTGGGGTTTTTTTTTGTAGGAGCCGGTGCATCATGTAGCTGACAAGTCTCGCAGCGTCCTCCTGACCCACGAGCTCGCCTTGAGCTGCACTGGGCCTCCTTTTTAAACTCAGTCATTAGCGGAGAAGCCGCCCTCGGACTCCGAAGGCATTTAAAGATCAGCAGAGGCCAAAAAAGCTTTTAAAAAGCCGGCAAAACAAGCAGGGCAGCCCTGCCGTCCCTTTTAATGTCAGGTTAGATTGCCGTCTCGAGAGCTCCGTTCGTTCAGGTACCAAGCACTCAGCAGTTTGAGGCTGGCGAGGGGAAACTTGTAACCCAGAAAACATCTGTTTCTTACGCCTACAAGCTGCAACGGGTGGGGAAGGAGGCTGGGCTGTAGCCACAGAGACCCGGGGAAAGGTGGGGGGGGGCTAAAGAGATTCCCACCGAAAGGATCCAGCAAGGGCTGACTTTCCCCTCTCTCCTGAAATGGGTATTTAAAAAAAAAAAACCTTAAACATAAAAGAAAAGGAGATGCTTTTAAGGAATTCAGCACGCCATAAAGTGAGCAGATCGAGTTGCCTTTTCGAGCTGGGTGTTCCTGCCCACATGTGCCTTCTTACAGAATTATTTTTTACTACATCTAAACTCCCCCTTTTCTCTCCCCCCCCCCAAATCACGTGGGGCCACGACATTCATTGACCTCTGCCATTTCCATTGCAGATCATTTTAGTGTTTTCTCTCCATTTCTCCAGTATCAAAATAGGGGTGTATCAGGGGTGAAATCCAGCAGGTTTCTGACAGGTTCTGGAGAACCGGTAGCGGAAATTTTGAGTAGTTCGGAGAACTACTGGCCCCAGAGTGGGGAGGGAATGGAGATTTTGCAGTATCCTTCTCCTGGAGTGGGGAGGGAATGGGAATTTTGCAGTATCCTTCCCCTGGAGTGGGGAGCAAATGGGGATTTTACAGTATCCTTCCCCTGGAGTGGGGAGGGAATGTGGATTTTGCAGTATCCTTCCCCTGGAGTGAGGAGGGAATGGAGATTTTGCAGTATCCTTCCCCTGGAGTGGGGAGGGAATGGGGATTTTGCAGTATCCTTCCCCTGGAGTGGGGAGGGAATGAAGATTTTACAGTATCCTTCCCCTGGAGTGGGGAGGGAATGGGGATTTTGCAGTATCCTTCTCCTGGAGTGGGGAGGGAATGGAGATTTTGCAGTATCCTTCACCTGGAGGGGGAGGGAATGTTGATTTTGCGGTATCCTTCCCCTGGAGTGGGAATTGAAAGGGGATTTTGCAGTATCCTTCCCCTGTCACGCCCACAGAACAGATAGTAAAAAAATTTGAATTTCACCACTGGAGTGTATGTGGTTTTTTTTTTTAACTGAAATCTAGAGCGCCATTGCTTCATCTTCTCTCCCCTGTGTTCTGCCAAGCGGCTAGCATTTATGTCTTCAGTATGCATGGGTTGCTCTCCTACCAGAACTTTTGTGACGGAGGCATTTATAAAAGCATGGAGGGGGAAAAAAATCGAGGATTTACCCCTCTTAGCAAATTACATTATCGTGTCATCTGGCAAGAGTGAGAGGGACAGTCTTATCAGAAGTCGTGGCCATCCAGGGTCACCTTGCTGGGGAGATGGGTGGCATAAAAATGTAATTAATCAATTAATAAGGGCCCTCCTTGTAAGTAGTTTACTAAGCTTTATTCCTTACTCCAAAGTAAGAAGGGATGGATTCAGGGGTGGGATTCAGCCAGTTTGGACCGGTTTGGGTGAACTGGATTCTAATTTTACATCTTGTTCGCCGAACCGGTAGTTTGAAGGACTGGCTGGCCACGCCCGCTCCTCCCCTCCCCGGAGTCTCCACACAGCCCATTTTGGATGCCAGGTAAGTGCAGGGCCTGCACGGAGGCTTCGGGAGGGCAAAAAACGTGCTGGGGGGGCAGTTTTTGCCCTCCTGGGGGCTCGAAGAAAACATCCGCAGCCTGGGGAAGGGGAAAACACACCCCTCGCAGCCACGGTGCAGTAGGCTGAGTAGGCCATGCCCACCCAGCAACCAGGTAGAGAACAGGTTGCTAAAATCTTTGAATCCCACCCTTGGATGGATTTCTCCTTTACTGGCCCCAAAATACACAGTCAAATAAGTACGACGAAAAAACATGGGAGACTTACACCGTGTGAATTGCTTGCACTTTTGAAGGAAGCTTTCGTGACCCGTCAAAACCGCGTTCCACAAAAGCGCGATCGACGAAATCGCGTATGTGACGTCATCACAACGCGACGAAA